AATAAAATGTTTATGTAAGAATAAATTCTGCCTAGTTTAATGTATTATATTGTAGTATTGTAGTTAGTTGTTTGTAAACATGTCTGTTTTCCCTGGAGGATTGTGAGGTCTTGGTGAGAAAAATATCATGTCTAATTCTTTTTTTTTTTTTTTTTTGTACCAAGGATTGAACTCAGGGTCACCCAACCACTGAGCCATATCCCCAGCCCTATTTTGTATTTTATTTAGAGAAAGGGTCTCACTGAGTTGCTTGGCACCTCACTTTTTGCAGAGGCTGGCTTTTGAACTCACAATCCTCCTTTTTTAGCTTCCAGAGCCACTGAGAAAATAAGCATACAGGACTCCTTCTGGCTCCATTTTTTTTTCTCCTGAGGCTAGCACAATGGCTAGCATGTAGCAAGTGTTCAATACACACTTTTTAAATTGAAGTAATTGTGCCCTATTCTACTATCCTTCACACTATAATGGAAGCTGCTTTTAGTTGACAAAATTATTCTTTCCCATTAAAATATAAGTAATTATTGATAAGCATAACTTTTATAAGGAAGAGAGTGTTTCACTGCTATTGAGTTCCTTTCAAAGTACCAGTGGTTTTCCTTTTCTCACTCCTACTCCACCACTGGGTGTCAAGACCACCACAAAGGGAGTGCTTATCAGCTTCAGGACCTTTGAAAAGGAAAGACACTCACATAGGATTTAGACAAGAGCTTCAGCTGCAAAATTCATCACAATTAGTAGCTGTTGATAGCAGCCCTTACTCCACATTGCCTTGAGGTCCATAATGATGATGCTATTGATACTTTGGATTACTGGTGACGAGTTCTGCTCCTTCACATGTTGAAGTATAACATTAGAGAAGCACGCCGAAGCAAGCATACAAAGCAGGGTTCATTTAAAAAGGGGGGTAACAGACTTCTCCCAGGAGGGAGAAGGGAGCCATAGTTGGTATCCTAAGAAGCGAGGCATGTTCTGCCTTTTTTAAATATGTCCTAGGCTTCCTTTATTCTCCTGCTCACTTCCCCTATCTCTCTCCTTCCTTCCTACATGACTAGGCCCAGGAGATGCTCAGTGGGATGGCCAAAAGGTGAGAAGCAGATGGATGGGATAAGACCAGCCAGGGACACATTAACAACTTTATAACTCCCTGTAAGAGGTGGGGGGCAATTCCTGGGACAGGTTACCTTAGCAATAGGTTGGAGCAGGGGCAGGTTTTTGATAGGGTGGAGGACGGGCTCTGAAGGAATTAACATTTCAATCCTTCAGGGGACAGTCTCCAACTTCCTGAGCTCACTCAAATTGGCCTCCTTGATCTGACCTGACTCAATTTACCTATCTATACTGACTGCCTGTCTAATTCTGGCTTCACTGTTGGCATTTGGAGAAGGCAAAATCTTCACTTTGTGTCAATTCTGGTCTTCACACCACCTCTGGGAAACAGAAAAATTGTTAGGAAAATAGAAGAACTGTAGTCTTTCCTTGAACAGAAATAAATGTTCTGCAAATGTTCAAGGAGTCTGTGGTACTCCTCTACTTAGGGCAGCCTCCCACCACTGACCCTGCTCTTTTTCAGTGAGGACCCCATTCTCAGGACATAGCCTATTGTTCTCTGTCTCAGATCTAGTTTGGTCAAGAGCTGTTGAGAGTGTATGGTTGTATTGTATTTGTAAGCTACACAATAGTTTTCTACATTTTCATCAATCCAGGCAGTCACATGAAACTCCGGTCTGAGACAATTGGCTTTATTTCTCATGATGTGACAGGCAGCATGAATTTTATATTCATGTGGGTTCTCCTCATCCCCCAAATATTGAAGGAGGGCATGCAAATGTGGGTTCAGAGGCATGCTTGGCACAAGTGGGTTTGTGCCAAAGGTGAGGAGCTCCAAACTAGGAAATTCCTACTCTTATAATGGGGCTGCTTGCAAAAATGCTCAAACTTTGCCCTGGAGAGAAACATTATCTTTATTATACTGATCATAAAACAAAACTCTATGTCCCAGAAAGAAGCACTATCTCTACTTTTTTTTTCTTTTTTTTTAATTAATTTTTTTTTATTGTTGGTCGTTCAAAACCTTACACAGTTCTTAATACATCATATTTCACAGTTTGATTCCAGCGGGTTATGAACTCCCAACTTTACCCCGTATACGGATTGCTGTATCACATCAGTTACCCTTCCATTGATTGACATATTGCCTTTCTAGTGTCTGATGTATTCTGCTGTCAGTCCTATTCTCTACTATCCCCCCTCCCCTCCCCTCCCCTCTTCTCTCTCTACCCCTTCTACTGTAAATCATTTCTTCCATTTGTATTATCTTGTCTTACCCCTCCATTACATAGTTCTTGATATATCATATTTCACATTTTGATTCAAGTGGGTTATGCACTCCCATATTACCCCTTATACAGCTTGCAGAATCACATCAGTTTCACTTCCATTGCTTTACATATTGCCATCCTAGTGTCTGTTGTATTCTGCTGCCTTTCCTATCCTCTACTATCCCCCTCCCCTTCCCTCCCCTCTTCTCTCTCTACCCCCCCTACTGTAATTCATTCCTCCCCCTTGTATTATTTTTCCCTTTCCCCTCACTTCCTCTTGTATGTAATTTTGTATAAACCTGAGGGTCTCATTCCATTTCCATGCTATTTCCCTTCTCTCTCCCTTTCCCTCCCACCTCTCAACCCTGTTTAATGATGGTCTTCTTCTTGTGCTCTTCTTCCCTAGTCTGTTCTTAATTACTCTCCTTATATCAAAGAAGACATTTGGCATTTGTTTTTTAGGGCTTGGCTAGCTTCGCTTAGCATAATCTGCTCTAATGCCATCCATTTCCCTCCAAATTCCATGATTTTGTCATTTCTTAATGCAGAGTAATACTCCATTGTGTATAAATGCCACATTTTTTTTATCCATTCGTCTATTGAAGGGCATCTAGGTTGGTTCCACAGTCTTCCTATTGTGAATTGTGCTGCTATGAACCTCGATGTAGCAGTGCACTATCTCTACTTTTGAGCATGTTTGCTCTATAAAGAGAAATTTACCACAAGCTTTTGCAGAAAAGTGAAAGTTCATGGAAAAATGGTCTCCCAAAAGTGTCACAGCTCTTCCTGACTCCTCCTCTTGACAAGAAAAAAGAATGGAGAAATCTCTTCTCTCTATACTCTCTTAATTCTCTCATCATGGTATAAATTCAATGTTCTGCTTCCTTCAGACTTCCCATTTTGATTCTCAAAAATCAGTCTGAAGAACCAAAATGTTTCTTCTTGCTTTTTTCATTATTGCTGTAACAATTCTGCTTCATCACAAGGTAATGTGGATGCCGCTGACTCACCAGGGGACAAATCACTACCAGGAAGTGGGGAAAAGAAAAACAGAAAGATTTAAAGTTCAAGTTACTCAAGTGTGTTCTGACTTCTAAAAGAACTTTCACGTCATCAAGATTCTCCACCCACCCCTTGTGCATCGCTTCCTTCTTCTTTAATGGAAATCTGTACCTTCAGATTTGTTATTCCCAAATTCTAGTTATCCAACAATAAAACAAGCTAGTCTAAACCATCTGGGTCTTAGAGTGTTTTTTACCAATTTACCATCCCCTCTTGCTTTGATTCTTTTCTTTTTCCCTAGGAGAGTTAGAACTTGAGACTCTTGACTTCTTAGATGCAGATCCCGACTGCCTGGAAAACTTCAGGGGAAAATTCCTACAAATAATTTCTGTGGATTACCTTGACATATCCCACTTGTTCACCTTTCATATTTTATACCCTGATAGTACCGTGAGGATTCTTCCTCTTGAGAAAAGGGTATGAGATATTTTTTTCTCTCACCCAGCAGCCCTGCTTTTGCAGGTCCTGGCTTCTCATTCTGCCATCCTACTGCTGCTTAATTTCACCTGGATTGTCATAAAGATGGTCAAATGACAGACTCCCTGTAACTGTCTCTAACATTAGCTACATACCAAGCTATACTCTCCACACCTCAATTCCCTTGCTCACAGTTTCAAATGCCCTTTCATTTCCATTCAATTTAACTCACAAACATGTTTTGAATACAAATTACTGGACTGGAGTAGGGTTTATGATGACACATGAGCTAGTGCTATTCTCAAAATGATTCCAAGTAGTTTCTAGATTAGGATATGAAGAGACACAGTAAATCAGAGTGTGGAGTTGAAAAACAGCTTCATTAAGGGGAGGACAGTAAATCATCACAATTTCAAACATGGGATTTGAAGCCAGAGATCAGGGATCAAATCCTGGTTCTAGGGCCCTGGTGTAGTTCAGTGGTAGAATGGGTGCTTAGCATACCCGAGGCCCTAAATTCGATCCCTAGCACCAAAAATGAAATTAAGAAATCCTGATTCTAGTATTTACTAGTAACTCCACTGTGGCATTGGGAATAACAACTTTCTTGACAGATGTACTTAATCTGTACGACAGTAGTTGCCCTAAATGGCATCAGCCTATAAACTCATCAAGTATTGAGACGACGCCTGAGGAAAGCCAGATTTTGAGGATTTATGGAAAATGGGAAGACTGAAGGTGTCAGACGAAGGAGATGTGGTTTAAGGGGTAAATTGTGGGAGGACTTCAGTTTTCTGCAGCAGGAGCTATATGGAAAGTCCGCACGTGGCAGAGCAGTTAAATTAAGGGGGGGAATCATTACAGACAAGACCGGATTAATTTCTTAAAAATTTCAGAAATGGAAACTGATTAGGAATGAGAAAACAATTTCGTGGAGTGAAGGGAGATTATCTAGATTTTAAAAGTCTCTTTGAAGCACGTTTTTTCCCACCTGCCCCAAAGTTTTCATCCGTAGGCGGCTGGGGACAGCCCTGCGGGAGGAGGATCCACCGCGCGTCCCGGCGCACCACGCCGCGGCTGGTGGAAGAGAGCCCCGGGCCTGGCGCACCAGCGGAACCCGAGCGCGGTGTCTGCGGCGCGGGCCGGGCAGGTTTCCTTGGAGCACGAGGTGTTCCCCCTCTCTGCGGCCCCAGCGCCGAGTCGAGTCGCTGCTTTCCTCTTCTTTGTTCCGGTGGTTGGGGCTGATTAAACCGACCCTGCAGACATGTCGGGGTTCAGCCCGGAACTCATCGACTACCTGGAAGGGAAAATCTCCTTTGAAGAGTTCGAAAGGCGGAGAGAAGAGAGAAAAACCCGTGAGAAGAAAGTGAGATGCCCACTCTCTGGTCCTAAAACACTTAGGTGTGGGGGACCCAGGTGACCCTTCCGCAGTGACAGGATGGGCCCAGAAGTCCCAGAAGCTGTTTCCTACTAATACCGAAACTCCAGTTTTCACCCCTCGTCCCTGTGCTAAGATCCTCTTAAAACATTTTCCCCTACCGAAAAGCTTTTGTCTCGGTGGTAACTTCTTCCCTTTTTTGCTAAGTGGTAAATTTTTATTTGAGCGTAGCTTAATGCTGGTAGGTTACTTGGGAGCAGGGAGAGACTAGTCAGAATGTTTGACTAGTTCTAGTCCTAGCTGTGCCAGTAAGTCGTTTGTGATCGAGGGTGGGTAGCTCACTTCTGTGGGCCCCAGTGTCTCTCTCTATTTCTGGTATCAAGCCCAGGGCCTAGCCCACGGTAGCCCTGCACGCTGCTCCAGAGCTAAACCTTAAACCCTGAACTCCCGTTTTTGATGAGTCCGCGCTGGTGAGATATTGTCTTCCACGAAGTGAACCAAATTGATAAGAAAGTCTTCACTCATACTTCATTTTTCATACTTAGAAAATATCTGCACTTTGTACATCTTCTCGCTTACTTGAAGTCTCAGGGAAAATAAAAGTGAACATTTTGAAATTAGATGATGGTTTCTTGAGTAAGTGACCCATGTCTTTGTTGAAAGTATTAGATTAGTGAGAAAATCACTTTTATTATTTATTATTCATTACAAATGACTTATTAAGACCGGAGGATCAGACCTAAGTACTTGCTTTGACAGTAATTCAAATTTAAATCCATATATGGTGTCTAGGTCCAGGCTGTATAAATAAAAGTTAAGGCAAAGCTAAATTTGAGGAGAGCTAAATCTGCACTAGTTTTTGGAATCAATTAAGTTAATTTTCAATCACAGAGTCTTCAGGAAAAAGGAAAATTATCAGCTGAAGAAAACCCAGATGATTCTGAAGTTCCATCATCATCAGGAATTGAATCTACCAAATCCCAGGACAAAGATGCCAATGAAGGTATGTTTAGATCATTTGCTATGTGAATTAAATATTAAGAGTACCTGGGGCTGGGGTTGTGGCGCAGCAGTGGAGCGCTGGCCTCCCATGTGCCAGGCCCTAGGTTCCATCCTCAGCACCACATAAAAATAAATAAGTGCAATAAAGGTATTGTGTTCAACTACAACTAAAAAATATTTTTTAAAAAAGAGTACCTAAGCAGAGTAATTTAGTGAAAACATTTTCTTAATTGAAGTGGTATTATTTTTTAGTAGATTATGGATGATTTTAGTTTCCTTTTTAAAAATATATTTTCTCAGTCTTCTAATGTCAATGTGTGTTTCTTTTGAGAATGAAAAGAGTTCTTAAACTGTTTTTGCAACTCAGGTTTATTAATCAATGCTATTGTTACACTGTAGTTTTCATAAAGCAAAATGCACTGATTTTAAGCACATAGTTTACTATTTTACAAAAGTATGTACACCCATGTTTTTGCTCAGTCGTGGCATAGGATGTTTCCATTCCCTAGAAAGTTCATTGGCATCCCTTTTTAAATTTTTTTTAAAAAATTAAGAACTGTGTAATGTTTTGAATGACCAACAATAAAAAAAAATTAAAAAAAATAAAAATAAAAATAAAAGGAAAAAAAAATTCTAATTAGTTATATATGATATCAGAATGCATTTTGATTCATTGTCTACAAATGGAGCACAACTTTTCATGTCTCTGGTTGTACACAATGTAGAGTCACACCACATGTGAAGTGGTATTATTGATTGCCCAGTTTATCAGGAGCATGGTGCTTTGTATGTAGTAGCTGATCCATTAATATTAGTCATTTTATGATAATAGTTATTTTTGTGAGTTCTCCATGTTGGAGAAGTGTTTCAAATTGATGTATTTGTTTGGTGACCTTTGTAGTCATTATTTTTAAAATTGGGCCTCTCAATTGGTGACTAATTTCAGATCATACTCACCTAGATTGTAATGAGTCACACTTCTGTACAAACTCCCTTTCAAACCATGTCAGACTGGAAGGTGAGTTGGCTGCTCAGATGGGACTTCACACACATTGTTATTATGGTGTGCTGCCTCATTCTAGGATCCAATCCTAAGCTTTGAATGTCCAGATATTAAATTTTGTTAGTACATTGAAGACTAATTAAACTCATCAGAGCTTAATGGATGAAATAACATGCAAATCTGTTAAGTTGTAGGGATTGATAGACCTAATGATGAGAATGCAAATAGCTCATTATATCCATTTCCCATGTTAAGTTACCAAATATGCTGAATTGTCAATTAGAATGTACCTATAGAGTCTGATGAAGGACTAAACTAAACTCTAGTTTTGGGGGGTAAACATATAGACTGGCTCTTTTCTCTTTGAACACATATGCACACAAGAGAACACACAGAAAACAAACAAGCTTTATTCCTACCTCCCTGGACCACATGAGGATGAAAGGGTAAAGGGAGGAAATTGGGGTTACACTTTCTTACTTTGCCATGCAAGTGGTGTGGGAAAGCGACTGAAGTTCTACAATCTATGGGTCCTTCTTTATTTGCTCAGGGAATAAGCACCTCTTTTATAGTTAGTCTTTGAGGTATAAATCTAACAGCAGGAACACTGAGTGCTTGTCAGTCTTATTGCCTAAAGTTGACCTCAAGAGCTGGCCATCAGGCCCTCCCTTTAAAAAAAAAAAAAAAAAAAAAAAGTTCAGCTGAGTCCAGTTCTGGATCATTAGAGCAGAGAGGCAAGAACCGGCTGGCCTCACCTGGAACAATAACCTTAGTTTTTAAAGATATAAGTTTCCCTGTTTCTTAAGAAGGAATTGTCCCAGAACCCTTCAAAGACTATTGGAGAGTGTGAGCATGTTTTCAGAATAGAAGGGATTACTTTTGAACAAGCTTTGGCAAAAGCTACTTATTGAAATATATGGTCTTTTTAGTATCATTTCTTTTTCTTCCTGGACCTTGCTCTTGCGTTCCTTTGCTACATACCACACGGATAGGGTCTTTTAATTTCATATTCAATTCATCATTACTGATATTTAAAACTACAATTTTTATATATTAACCTTGTATTCTACAACCTTGCTAAATTAATGTATTCTGACAGTTGTATTTAGATTCTTTTGGATCTCCTATATATGATCATGTCATCTGTAATGATAATATGATAATTTTATTTCTTCCTTGCCATCTTTTGGCCCCCCCCTTTTTTTTAAACTTGGTTAAGACATCCAGTAAAATGAGTAAAATATTGAATGGAAGTGGTACCAACAGGAATTTTTGTTTCAATCTCAGTAACTTTCAATAATTCACCATAAATTGATAAACTTTGGAAAGTTGTTAAGATTTTTCCCCCCCCCCCCCAGTACTGGGGATTGAACCAGGAGATATGTGCCACTAAGCTACATTCCCAGCCCTTTTTGTTTTTATTTTGAGACAAGGTCTTGCTAAGTTGCCCAGACTGGCCTGGAACTTGCCATCCTCTTGTCAGCCTCTTGAGTCATGAAATTATAGGCATGTGCCACCATGATTCGCCAATAGATAATTTTCATCAAAGTAAAGATCATTCCTTTCATTTCTAGTTGACGAAGACTATTAGGAATGAGTTGTATTTTAGCAGATTATTCTTTTTTTTTGGAGGTGGGGAGGTACCAGGGATGGAACTCAAGGGCACTCAGCCACTGAGCCACATCCCCAGCCCTGTTTTGTATTTTAAATAGAGATGGGTCTCACCGAGTTGCCTAGCACCTTCCTTTTGCTAAGGCTGGCTTTGACCTAGAGATCCTCCTGCCTCAGCTTCCTAAGCCACTGGGATTATAGTTATGCTTCACCATGCCCAGATTGCAGATTATTCTTCAAGATGATCATATGATTTTTCTTTTATCTTTTTTTTTTCCTCCTGTGATGAACTTGGCATCTTTCTTTTCATCTTTGTTTTGGATGTTCAGAATTTTTGAATATGCTTATGACTTCTTAATAATAATTACTTGTTATTCAGAACATGTAGCTTTTAAAACCTTTTCTTCCTTAAGTATTACTTCATTTTTTTCCTTTAACATGACTATTTCATTTATTCAATATCTTTGGGGTTTGAAGTGTTTCATATAACTGAACAGGCTTAAAGGTTTTTGAATATAGTATTTAAAATTTTAACTGGTTTGTGGTTTTTTTGGAATTTTTCTAAAATGTGTTCTATGTCTCTGCTTTATTTAACAGAAAAATGACTTCTGAATATAACCTTTTCTTCATCATTAAGAAGGTTGTTATGAACATATAAAAATCATTCTACTGTAATAGTATCCTAATATGCAGATGAAGTATGTCAGGTTAATTTTGTTTCTGAAATAATAATGCTATTTTAATACTATTAGTATAAATAATAGTAAATTATTAGTAAAAATGATAATGCTATTTTAATACTATTAGTAAATTAGTAGTTTTCAGTGAGGTTTTACTGTGTGCTGGCTTATTCTAAGCACTTATACAGGGCCTCAGTGATTTGTCCAAGGTTATATAGCTATTGATAGATGGAGATAGAATTTGAAACCAGGCAACTTGGCTGTATAGCTCTCATATGTACCTACTGTGCTATACCATGTGGGTTCTACCATATGCTTGTTTAGTTCTTGGGTCTGTGCCTTACAAATAAAAACATCTTTTCCCCTCTTTGTTTTTAACATTATGTGTTTCTGATTTTTTCACTTAATATTTACCTCCATATCCAGATGAGCCATAAAGGCGGAGTTGGCTTTCCAACAGAGCAGAAAACATGGCTTTGTGACAACTTTCTTCTTTGGGTTGTTTTTGGGGGGTGTTTGTTTACCATTTTTTTTTTTTTTTAATTCAAATGTGATGTTGTTGGAGTCAGAAAATTATATTCCAGAAAACCAGAAAATACTTTTTCCTTTCAAACCCTGAGTGTTCCAAAGGTTTTATCCCTGCCTCCCCAATCTTACTGCCTCTTTCTGTAGGAGAAACATCAGATGGAGTGAGTAAGTCAGTTCACAAGGTGTTTGCTTCCATGCTTGGAGAGACTGAAGATGATGAGGAGGAAGAGGAAGAAGAGGAGGAAGAGGAGGAAACACCTGAGCAACCAACTGCAGGCGATGTATTTGTATTGGAGATGGTTCTCAATCGTGAAACCAAGAAAATGATGAAAGTAAATTATTTATTTTATATTTCTTCTTAGAGAATTTATATGTAAAATCTTGGTTAGCACACTATAGTTTTGCTATTTGAAGGTATGCAGTATATCTCAATATTTTTTTAAATCAACTTCATTCTGAGTGGATAAATTTGACAGGAGGATTGTTTTTGTGCATATGTGTGTTATTGACACTTAAGCCCAGGGCCTCACACATGCTAGACAAGTGCTCTATCACTGAGTTACATCCCTAACCCGAAGGAGGATCTAGTAGAGTAAATCATAATTTGTTTCTTGGTATGTACATCCATTTTGCAGCATTATAATTTGTTGTTCTAATTAGCAGTTAGTAATTTCCTGACCACTTTGATTTTTGTTTATTAGATATTTTACTGTGTTTTGAACTTTTCTACTGTAGAGTTTTTTGTTTGTTTGTTTTTTTGTAGTTTAATTTCTTAGGTGCCCCTCTGGAAAATATCATAGAATAATTCTGTTCTTTCTTGCACCTGAGTTTTAGATTTTTTTCCTCCAATGTAGACTTTCAGGCTAAAAAGTCAATAGTTGCAACCATTTAGTCCTTAGTTCTAAGTTTAGAAGATTAAAAAGTTTTAAAGGGAACTTTCAGTTTCTTTATGTTCTGTATTTACTAATGTCATTGGAATTGAAATCTAATACTTTACTATATTTTATCTGGATGTCATTTTTCTTCCATGCAGGAGAAGAGGCCTCGGAGTAAACTTCCCAGAGCTCTGAGAGGTCTCATGGGTGAAGCCAATATTCGCTTTGCTCGAGGAGAACATGAAGAGGCAATATTGATGTGCATGGAAATCATAAGACAAGGTGTTTTATGTGGGGAATTTATTGATAATAGCAGTTTAATAGTCTAATTTTAAAAACAAATGGAGAAGCATTTCAATGTATATTTGCAAATATATTCAGAAACTTAGAGGTGATTGTGGTAACAGTAACTTGCCACATTCACTTCACGTTATTACGCAGAAAATAAGGATCATAGGGTATGATTCAGTGAGATATCATTAAGAACTTTCAAGGCTCTTTTTTGCTTTTTAATATTTTACACTATGGGTTTTAGACTTGTACTGTTGTTATTATTTTTTAAAAATTTATTGTGGTGCTGGGAATTGCACATACTATGCAAGCACTCTAACACTGAGCTATATACCCAGCTATGTTAATCTTTTTTGAAATGGCAGACACATTGTGAATATAGAAGGAAAAAAGAGTGTTTTTTTTCCCCCTTTCATATCCTAGATCATGCAGTGCTGAGTTATTTTAACCTGTTTTTTGGTAAAGATGCAATTTAAAATTGTCCCCCTATTTCTTAACTAAATGGCACATCTTGGGCATATTGCAGGACATCTTCAAAAGTGATTTTTTTTTTTGAACTACTTTTATTTATTATCTTGCTTTGCTGATTATTGTCAGTTGATGTTCCACAGATTGGCTTGGGTAGTTCTGAGACAGTGAAATTTTAATTTGTCTTTTTATTATTTTTGCATTTCCTTTTAATTATAATAGGATTGTTTTATATGTTATAATTTCTTAAATTATTCATTACGGTAATTTGAGGCCACTACTTCTTGTTGTTACTTCGGAAGTAAGAATAACCCAACTCTTTCTTCAGGACATTTCATTTGGTTCCTCCTTTCTATTATTATCTACTATTTTATTTCAGTTTATACTTATTTATTTTTGAATTTTTATTATTATTATTTTCAGTGTTGGGGATTCAACCCAGGGCCTCATACAGGCTAGGCACACACTCTACCACTGAGCTACATCCCAGTATTAATCTTTGACTTTAATCCTTAGTCTTTGAATTTTGTTTTGGAAATAGTATTTTAGAAATGTAGATTAGTCAGTCACTTTGATATCCTGGGGTCAGGTTTTGCTTAGGTGAGTTGAGTTCATCCTATACTCTTTGATGTAGGAACCAGATCATGAAAATTCATTTCCATGATATAGCTAATGGTTATTGGTATGAACTTAATGAGTTATTGAACCATACTTTGCCTTAGTGAAGAGGGATTTTTCACAAGGAAGATGAGGTAGATGATAGGGTTTTTCATGTTGTATTCTGTTTAAATAAAATAGTGCTTGAACATTATTTTTTAAATGCTAAACATGTATGAAAGTAAAATAAAGCAAATGTAATCTAGTGTTTATTCTAAATTCCATGAAATGGTTTATATAATTCTGATAGTATCATTCTAAAATAATCCACTGTTTGAAGCGTGGGATCAATGTTAGCTCAAACGACTTCCCTCAATCAATGGAATTTATTTTTCTAATTCATTATAGCTCCTCTGGCTTATGAGCCATTCTCTACTCTTGCCATGATATATGAGGATCAAGGTGACATGGAGAAGTCATTGCAATTTGAGTTGATTGCTGCACATTTAAATCCTAGTGACACTGAAGAATGGGTTAGATTGGCAGAAATGTCTCTGGAACAAGACAATATTAAGCAGGCAATTTTTTGCTATACAAAAGGTAATTAAACCATTTTTCTCACTTTGATTAGATGTTATGTAATAGGTTGTTTGGTAATTACACTTGCTACTCTGGGCTAAGATGTTGGCTGAAATGTATTTATTTCTCATATTCTGTTATGCCAGAGAATGTATTTGGGGTCCCTTCTCTTCTGTTTATTAGCAACTTTTTTTTTTTTTTTTATATTGTGAGCTAATATACACAAAAGTTGGTAGATGAGTAGTTTCCCACTGAGGTTATACCATCATCATTTTAGAGAATTAATGTCCTTGAAATTAATGTCACACTAGAGTAACCAAAAGCGATAATATGGAAATACAGGTTCTAGCTAGTCTTAGATCAAACCTAGTCAAGTTTTCCTGTGCAGGTAGATTTATTCCAGAATAACCTGCTTGTTATCATTGCAGAATTAAAGTGTTCATTAAATTTTTGAGAAGATGTTGGGTCACACTCTGGTACTTAGCACCTCTTCTTGTGGTAAATATGTAATTTTTATTCCTTTCTTTCTAGCTCTTAAATATGAACCTACTAATGTCCGTTATCTCTGGGAGAGATCAAGCCTTTATGAACAGATGGGTGATCATAAAATGGCTATGGATGGCTATAGGCGTATTTTAAACCTTTTGTCTCCATCTGATGGAGAACGTTTTATGCAATTGGCTAGAGATATGGCAAAGTAAGTTTGGTATGAAGTATGTATGGGTACTCTTATTAATCATCTATTTTTGTAAATCAAAGAATATATTCAAATTAGAATATACTTTTCATTGAGGTACAAGGACCTGTTTGCCTTTTATATTTTTTATTGTGCCTAAATACAGAGGTGGGTTTTTAAAAAAATACTTTTCTGTTTCCAAGTGAACTGATGGCTTAGAAAATTTTGTAAATAAGGTTACATTTCCAGTTATCAGAAGCTTGAATACAAAGCATATTTTGAAAGATGATAGGTTTCCAATTTTCCACAACTTAATTGAAGTTGTATATATCTGTATTTAAAAAAAAATTATTGCACATGTGCCAATGAAATGTTTGTGATCTGGGATTGTCTACAATAATTTATTTTGTGTCAGTACTAAAATAATTTTTAAGATTAAAAAGTTTTCTTGAAAGTTGTTATATGTTACTGATCATGGTGTTATACTTTATTCTAAATTATGCCATACTGCAGTTACTTTTATGTTACGTTGTGCAGCAAAACAAAGTGGGGAACATTTTAGTTTAATAATGCCTGTGGTGTGCTTTCTATTCTTATGGATATCTACTATATAGTATTTCAGCCTAGGTTTAATCATCTTGATCTGGGTACATTAGTGTTAACTCCATTCTGTAACATTTATTCTGGTGATGCTTGGTTGTGAAATTGTCATTTCCCCTCCCAGGAATGGGTTATATAGGAATACAAGTAGTATTTTTAGGAAATTTGGTGAGACAGAGTGACCCTAAGTTGATCACTGACGGTATACCATGAATATTGAGTGTGTTCCCAGGTTATCTGCTAATAAAACTCTGGCTTTTGGTGGTTAGTCTAGTTGTGTTCTACTTTAAGAATCATTATGTGGCCTGTAGTAGTAAATTTGTTTTTCACTTGTATTACATATATTTTTGTTAGGTGAGAGTGGCCACTTCAGTCACTGCTGTGGTGGTTTTCTTACATGGAATTTTGTTACTGTAACATCTGATTGATTAGGCTTTATCTTTGGTCCTTACTTTTCCTCCAGAAATATTTGTTGTCTGTATCTTGTGTGCTAGATACTGTACAAGGATATCCATTTTTCAACAAATTTTAGAAGTCCTCTGCCTTGTGGAGCTTACTTAAATCTTAGTACAGAACAACCAGAACAACCAGCTAAAAATTTAATAGAACCTTGCTACCCCACAGATTGGCAGCGTTTGTATTACCAGAGAGCTTGTCAGAATTGCAGGATTTCAGTCCTGCTCCAGCTCTACTGGATCAGAATGTGCCCTTTTGAAGAACCCAGTTGATCTTTATGTACATTCAAATTTGAGAAGTAATGGACTAGGTAACTATATTGCTTATCAGTACAGTGAGCACTCTTTGGGCTAGTGGTCATTAATTTAGAGTGGAACCAGTTGGTATGTTATTTGGGCAGGTGGTAATGAAGATAGACATACATGAATTTATTTAACTGTAATGGGGTTTTATCAGGTGATTTTGATAAAGGGAGAGGCAGGGCAAGAGAACAGAGGGTGTCTGCAAGGGGGTAATTATAATGTTGTACTACCAAAAAGGGGAGAAATGAGGATAGGAAGGGCATAGGGAATAAGTGGTAAAACCAGTGCTTTGTAGATCCGTTAAGTGTTCTTTGTATTGAATTACAGAGGGAATGAGCTGAAATGATAGAAATTTAAAAGTGAGAAATTAGGTGAAATACTTGAAACTAGGAAATTGTTATACATTGTGACATGGTACATTTTTCTCTGAATTAGTTTGGTTATATATTTTTTTTCATAAATAAGACTTTGTCACTATTTAAAAATCTAAATTTTAAATAGATTCTTGGTCCGGTGGTTCATATCTATGAGCTTATTCAACTTTAGCAGTGATCTTATTTCCAGTTGCTTTTCCAATATTACCTTCATAATGGAACTCCATTAGTTTCCCCAGTTAAGACTTGGGCTTCTTCTGCACTTCCACTTTTTGTTTTCTTAATTTTCTTTCTTTGTTTCATTTTTGATACTGGGGATCTAACCTAGATCTATTACTGTTCCACATCCCTAGATTCTCCCCACCTTTTTTGTTTAATTTTGAGAGTGATAGGGTCTTGCCAAGTTGCTTAGGACCTCACTAAATTGCTGAGGCTGGCCTCAAATTTGTGATCCTTCTATCTTAGCCTCCTGAGTCCCTGGGATTACAGGTGTGTACTACCATACTCTGCCACACTTCTGTTTTTCTAATGAAGACATCATGAAGAGTATAAATAGATTGCCAAGCCTTTTCTATCTTATAATATTGAATCAGTTTATTGGCCTCTTCTTTCAAGTGATTTATCTGCATCTTTTGGGTTATGATTCCCACCATGTTTTTCCATGTTTGGCATACTTTTTGGTGCTGAGCATAAGAGGTCTTTCATGATTGTTGTTTTTATTAAGACCAACACAGACCAGTGAAGCAAATAACCATCAGTAATCTTGACATCAACATGAGCTTCAATAATCATGGTCTGCCGTTTTTTGACTGGGAACCCATTTTGTCATGGTAAGATCCATGCCAAGGAAGTTAGATAGGTTTTGCACTGAATACCCTCAGTAATTATTTTGAATTTTCTAAATGTAATTTCACCTTTCTGCACATCAGTAAGCCTCACTTCACACAATCCTTGGATTCATCAAATGCAATTTTGGTACCTGAGCTCTTAGGACTAGTGCTTTTCCAACTATTTGCTTTTCTTTTTTTCTTTTGTGGTGCTAGGGATCAAACAAAGGGTCTTGCACTTGTGAGGCGAGAACTCTACCACTGAGTTGTACCCTGAGATTTCCAACATTTCTTACATTGAACATATCTTTCATATCATACCAGTCTTTTTTTAGATAATAGATTGTTTCTGACTCTTTTTGCCACCTTTTGTTCTTTTGTCGTTATTGTGTTGCTCATAGAGCCAGAATGCTGATTATGTTTTCTCCTCTCAAATTTTAAGAAAATGAAATCACAGTTAGAGGGACTCAGCTAGGAACTGAGTTTTATAATCAAAATTAAATAAGTATTCATCCATTTTTGTCACTTCACTTTTTTAGGAGTTACTATGAAGCCAATGATGGTACTTCAGCTATTAATATAATTGAAGAAGCTTTCTCAAAACACCAGGGCCTAGTCTCCATGGAAGATGTTAACATAGCAGCTGAACTGTATATTTCTAACAAGCAGTATGACAAAGCCTTGGAGGTAGAAGTGTTTGTTTTTACCTTTGTATTCCAGAAGTTCTTAAACATTGGCAGCTTCTTATTTTAATTATATATTAAACTGTATATTTAAAGTTTTAAAGGAAATAATTGATTTCTAGATTCTGCAGTAATTCTGTAGGAAATATAAAATATAGTTATCATACGATAAATGATGTTGCTGTTATTCTAAGTGCCAATTTTATCTGTATTTCCTGGGAGCAGAACTCAGACTAATTACAGTGATTCATTTCTATCTTTAGCCATTGAGGAAAAGTAGATTGGTTTGCTGCTGTGTAATTATATATCTTTAGTTTTAGTTAATATCATACAAAATATTAATGTATCTCAGCTAGGATTTTTTATTTTAAGAAGACTTAACTGTTTTTTTTTTAAATCCCATTTTTATGTTGCAAGGATTATTATTATTATATTATTTTTTTAGAGAGAATTTTAATATTTATTTTTAGTTTTCGGCAGACACAACATCTTTATTTGTATGTGGTGCTGAGGATCGAACCTAGGCCGCATGCATGCCAGGCGAGCACGCTACCGCTTGAGCCACATCCCCAGCCCTTGCAAGGATTATTTTAAGTAACTGTACCAGTCTTTGCATTAAGAAAAGTTTTTTCATTTGTTATTTCCTTTTCTTTTTTTCATTCTTTTAGGTAATCACGGATTTTTCTGGAATTGTGCTAGAAAAGAAAACAGAAGAAGGCACTTCAGAAGAAAATAAAGGTAGTAGTTTCCTTTGCATAGTAAAGTGTACATAATCCTCTCTTGGTCATACTATGGTATTTTGAATTGTTAATGTTCTCATAGCAAGTATTCCCAAGAAGCAATTTTTCCTCTAAGAAATTTCGTATCTTTTTATTGTGAATATTGGATTATAAGTAATCTTTGAAAAAAAATGTTTCATATTCCTTTTATTTTTTGATAAAAATAAAAGCATTGATAAAATGGCATTTCTCAGAGACCAGTGTCTCTTTTATTCATTCTTTTATCCTAATTATTAAAAACCTTTAGATCTATAGTGATTTATTTTTCAAAAAGGACTTAAAATTCTCTACTATTGGGCTGGGGATATAACTCAGTAAAGTGCTTGCCTTGCATGCACAAGGCCCTGGGTTTAATCCCTAGTACCACCAAAAAAAGGAAAAAAAAAAAGCTGTACTATTAAAAAATTCCACTTAAAACAGGTATTCACATGAAAAGTAGAAACTAATGATACCCTATATTGTCTAAAAACTAGAATATGTAATGAGAGATCTGGTTAGACAGTCATACTGGAAGTATGGCTTGCAGGATCTCTGTTAGTTCTTTCTCTCATATCTGCTGTTTTCTTTCTACCACACCCATTAACCATTCTGTGAAAATATTAACATGTAAGAGCCTATTTGAGGTTATAAAAAAATTGGTTTTCTTTATGGGCAGAGTAGACATTCCTATTCTTGGGAGAGAATTCCTATGTTGTACTTTGCACTCCTACCCTGTGAGGATTTTGATGGAATTGCGGGAAGTGAGTTGATACTGAATATACTGCCTGCTTCAGAATAGTTCTCTCCCTGCTTGTTGTCATATACAAAGATTCCATCATGTTGTAATCCTTTCGGTTAAGGCATAATTACTTAAATTTTTCTTTAAAAAAAGATCCATCTTAATAGCAAATAGTAATTCACTTCACAAATCAGTTTGCTAATTCATAGAGAGCAAGGTCCAAGATGAGATATGGGACAGGTGAATGTTTAAGTGGAAAGTTGTTGAGGGGAATCCCAGTTCAATAAGTTTCTTTTAAGTGACTATGCTTGAGTATGACATTTCCTGCCCTCAAGGAGGTAGGGAAGGGTTCAAATAAAGTGCATATAATTTAATCATAATAAGAGTTATATGTTGACTTCTGTGGCAAATTGGGAAAAGAGAGGAAGGGAGTATATTGTAGATCAGAGGATGTTTATAGAGGTACAGTTTAAGCAGACACTCATGAGGAAGGGAGTTCCAAATGGAGTCACAGAGTGTGGTAGCATTGCTTAGCCTGGATAGGAACAGACAGCATCCTGTGCTTTGGGCCTCTTGAGTGGTTAGAATGGTGTGAATGAGTTAGAAGTAGGAATTGTGGTATGAAAACATGAGTTAGGGCATCTGAAGGACTCTGTCAGTTTTAATACTTCTTTGAACCTGGTCTAGGTTAGAATTGAGGCTGTAATAAGTTATTTTACATCTATAATTTCTGTTGAACATTTTTCTCCTAAAAATCATATTTGTATTTTAAACTCTTTTTGTTCTTTGTTTTGAAAAACAAGTTTTAATTATAGATGTAATGAACTATGTTTCACTGATTCTATTTCCTTCCTTCTTCCTTCAGTTTCTTAATGATTTAGCATAGCTGGAATCAGGAAACATCTTAACATAAATCAACATCTTAACATAGAGTTTTCACTAGTAGTATTTTTCTTTCTTAGAATATTGGTGCCTGCTAGGTATGGTGGCACATGCCTGTAATCCCAATGACTCAGGAGGCTTAGGCAGAGAATTACAAGTTTAAAATCAGTCTTAGCAACTTAGCAAGGTCCTAAGCAACTTAGCAAGACTGTCTCAAAATAAAAAAATAAAAAGGGCTGGGGATGTAGTTCAGTCGTTAAGCACCCCTGGATTCAGTCCCAGATACCCCCCCCCCAAAAAAAAGAACAGTTGATCCCTGATTCACAATTTGTGCAACTTTATAATAGTTACATTAGTATGAAAGCAATACATGTTTGGTAGAAACTACACTTTGAATTCTTTTTTTTTTCTTGTTGTCCTAGGGATGAAACTCAGGCCCTTCCACATGTTAGGTAAACTGAATTTTACATCTTTTCCCAGGTTAGCATTAGGCAGTACCAGAGTCTCTCATGATGCTAGGCAGGAACAGCAGGCCATAGTTCCATCACTCTTAGAGGGTAAAACACTGATACCCTACAGTGGACCATGTTGTTAAATTATGTAGTTCAATGGTTTAGGTATATTAAATGCATTGTTCAGTTGAAGATATTTTCAATTTAGGATGGGTTTATTGGGACATAACCTCATTGTAAGTTGAAGAGGTTTATGTATAAAATAGTGGTGCATCTGAAATCTATAGCATCTTAGCATTGATAAAATAACTGAAAAATACACAGAATAGGAGATCTGAAGGTTGAAACACTTCGAATGTAAGCAAAGATTATTTTCTATATGCATTTTTGAAACTGAGAACACTTATTGGTAGATTATGTTGCTATTGATTCAGATTTTTTAATTCTTCCAAATGTGAAAGATCTAATTGGGAATTTGGGAGAATAAGTGTCAGTAACTAACATCAGCTTTTTAAAATATAGGGGTATGATGTGTTAGTTAATATTGTATTATATAAACTATAGGGAATTTAAATATATATATATTCCTTAGCATTGCCAAATTATTGACAGTGTCTAAATAATTGCTCCCAATCTCTGTACTTACCTGATTGAATTGGTTAACAGTTTGTGGATTGGCACGGGTCTTAGACTACACCTTGAGTAGCATTGCCCTGTAGTTTTATAAAGTGTCCTTAGCCTTTTTAAATAGTTTACCTGAATTCTACCTTGTCTGATATTGAGATTGTGACCTCTCTTTTTTGTTTGTATGTTATTTTCAACCATTTAGAATGTCTTGATTTTAGACACGCATCTTGTGTCCAACATAAAGTTGACTTTTACTTTGTGATTTGATCTAAAAGCAAGGTTTTTTATTTGTACATCTGTATAGATTATCTGTTTAATGGGTATATTTCATTGAATAGTGTCTTAGTTCCTTTGGGTTGCTATAACAAAATAGACTGAATGATTTATAAATGACAGAAATTTATTATAGTTCTAGAGGCTTAGAAGTCCAAGGTATCAGCAGATTTGGTGTCTGGTGAGGATCTTGCTGTGTCCTCATATGACAGAGGGACTGGACAAACTACTTCAAGCCTCTTTTTTTTTAAATTTATTTTTTAGTTGTAGTTGTACACATTCTTTATTTAATTTTTTTATGTGGTGCTGAGGATCGAACCCAGGGCCTCACATATGCTAGGCGAGTGCTCTACCGCTGAGCCACAGTCCCAGCCCTTCAAGCCTGTTTTTTAAAGATATAAATCCTATTTATGAGAGCAAAGCCTTTAAGACCTAATCATGTTCTAAAGACCCCCCCACCTCTTAATTCACTTGGTTCAGATTCAACAAATGAATTTTAGGGGAACACAAACATTCAGACCATGGCAAATATTTCTAGAAAGCAAATCAAATGATAGTTTGGAATATAGAATCCATATATAAGTAGAATACCATTTTATTAAAGTCAAAATGCTCAATAAAATGATTGCATTATTTAATTCTTATTCAGATAAGTGCCTATAACTACTATTTATTGAAGAACTGTGCATATAGATATAACCCTGAGTCAGACAGACCTTGTTCTTTTCTTGTCCTATGGAGTTTATGTGGGGTCTAAGGTGAAAAAATGTTCATAATAGGTAAATTTTGCTTTCTCATTGAGCAGAATAACAAGCTTACTCCACTTACTCCATTTACTCTCCCCAAGGAATTGGGAGAGTACTGAAGAATGAACCCAAGGGTGCTTTACTACTGAGCTACTTTTTATTTTTTATTTGGAGATAAGTTGCTGGGGCTGCCCTTGAATTTGTGATCCTTCTGCCTTAGTCTCTCAAGTCACTGGAATTACAGGCATGGTAGGCAGGAACAGCAGGCCATAGTTCCATCGTGCCTGGCAATAAGCTGTGTTTTTGATACCAGTTACTACCTTGAAGTTCAGTGATTAAAAAGTCTCTTAATTAAACTTCTCCAAATCCTCCTATGACTTGGTAACTTTTGGCAATACTATAATTTATGATGAGTTCTGTAAAATGTGAAATTATTTTAAGTAATTAAAAATTTTATTCTATCACTTTATATCACTGATATCCTCCTATACTTTAGGATTTTCTAAAATGGAAACATATACTTATTTAGAATTTACTATGTAAAATAAAAATAATATTTTAAATGTGTAACAAAATTTCTTCAATTTCTCAGGGCTTTAAAATATGTTTTGCTTAATTAAGATTTAAAACAAAACAGTATTATTTTACCCTTTTTGCCCCCCCACCTTTTTTTTCTGGGAAGCAGTGAACTTCAGAGCTTTATTCTGCAATATGGAGGAAATAATTTTGCCTGCCTCTTCACAACATAAGCTGTATTTGCCCTTTTCTTAATTTCATTGTAATAAAGAGGTGTTGTTGTTGCTGATCATTTTGTTTTTCTTTCTTTCTTTTTTTTTTTTTTTTGTTCTCTGTAGTTTGATAGAAAGTGTGGGAGTTTGTTTTGGATAAGTAGATATTAGGAAAAGAATAAGAAGGATGAATGCAAACAAAAGAGACAGACTGAAGGAGATAAAAGATCTAATAACAGAGTTAGCCAAAATTAGAATTGACTGTGGAACCATTTTCTTTGAATGAAGTAAGTAAGATACAAGGTAGAGTTTGCTTCATTTGCCCCACATTCTAAGCTTGCATATAGGAACTGCTTCTTGTCTGATGATTTCCCAGCTGGTGAGAATGTTACCTGCACTATACCTGATGGTGTGCCAATAGATATCATGGTGAAGTTGATGGTCTGCCTTGTACATCTCAACATCCTTGAACCGCTTAATGTAAGTAACATTAAGATGTGCACTTGAGATACTTAAGATCAAAACCAGTTTTCTTTGGATGACAAAAATTGTAACTTGACCCTGGATTTTCACATTTTTTAACTGAAGAGGTCACAGTAATCATCAAATCACTTTTGTATGAATATCTGAGACAAGCTAAAAATGTTTTGAAATTGGGCTTGTAATAATTTGCTTTTCTTTTAAAATGAGAACAATCCAAAGATGAAAAATTGATATTGGGTCTTTTGTAAATTGATAATAATCTCGACACCTATTTTCTTTTTCTGACTTTGGACAAAGTATTTTTATTGAACAAAAAACCTCTACTTTATTGACTCCAGGTTAGGGTATTGAGTAAAATACTTCAAATCCCTACATCATGGGGTTTTTTTTTCTAATGGGATTAGATTTAAAAAAAATTATAAAATATGTCAGATATTGGCTGGTGATAAATTTTCTGGAGAAAATCAAGGAAGAAAAATATTGAGGAATATTGGGGGTGGGAATGGTTGCAAATGGGAGTCAGGAAAGGCAGTAAACCATTGAGATATCTGAGGAAATCGCTTTCAGAAACATAAGCAAACATAAGGATGGCAAGGCACAGGTGTGCTTGGCTTGTTAGAGAAAGAGTTCAACAGAGCAGAGTGGTCCTAATTCCTGAAGTTGCCTGTCTTTTAACAGGTCCACATCATGTGTTAGATGAGTGAATGATAGAAATATTGAGTTCTTTTTCATAGAGATAAATAAATAGAAAAATGATCGTTTAAGCTGTGTTATTAAGCTTTGCTCCTTTTCAGCTTGCTTCATATAATCAATATATATTAAAATGAGAACTATACATAAATGTGCACACTTGTAATGCATGTTTGATGACTTCAGGCTTTTATTTGGGGTCTAGCCTCTCTTGACAACGCTAGTGGAACAGAATCCTGAAGATATGGGAGACCTATATCTAGATGTTGCTGAAGCTTTTCTGGATGTTGGTGAATATCATTCTGCGCTTCCCCTCCTCAGTGCATTAGTTTGCTCTGAAAGATACAACCTTGCAGTAGTTTGGCTTCGGCATGCAGGTAATATATTTTTAGTGGGAGGGAAAAGTTTTAATCATATAAGCGGACAAGAACTTATTATTCCAAGATGGTAATAATTGTGTTAATATCTTAGTGGAAGTATTTGTGGTTTCAGGCAGTTTTTTGTTTGTTTTTTGATACTGAAGATTGAACCCAGGACCTTACACATGCTACCACTGAGCTATATCCCCAGCCCTTTTTTATATTTTAAAATTTTATTTTAAAAAAGGGTCTAAGTTGCCTTACTCCTACCTTAGACTCCTGAGTAGCTGAGATTATAGTGTGTGCCACTTTGCCCAGATCAGGGTGGTTTTATGAAGATCAGAATTTATTAAATTGTCAGACTCTACTAAGTCATTTCCCCTCACTAATGCTTTGGAGGAACAATTTACTTATTGGTAACAGAGAGAAGAAGAAGGACTAACATGTCCCTTAAATGTCTGTCTCTTAACCTATATACTTTGGTTTGTGGTAATGTATTATCAGATTTGGGATGAAATCTAATTTTTGAAGAATTTTTACACATGGATACTTAATATTTTACTTTGAGAGAAAATATTTAATGTATTTTCAGTACTCTTTGAGCCACATGTCCAAGATTAAATTATCATTCATTTCACTTTTCCTAAGTCCACAGTAATCTGAAATAACTTAATTAGAATAGAAAAAACAGCTTCAGAACACAATATCTTGGATATATGAAAGTAAATATATTCTAACTGGATTTCTTATTGAGTTGTCATAGAAGATGCATTAAATATTGAATCCTTTTGGTTTAAAATATTGCATGATGACAGAAAGTTCTGATGGCGCTAAGATATTATTATTATATGAGAACTATTATAGAAAATTCTCTAACTAGAGAAGAACTAGACATTTGAGACAGTAGCTCACTCATATCACAGAAATGAACTGGGAAAGAGAGTACTTAAGATAATGCTTTTCTAGCTATTCATGGTATAGCATGTCTATAATCCCAGTGGCTCAAGAGGCTGAGGCAGGAGGATTGCAAGTTCAAAGACAGCCTCAGCAATTTAGTGAGGCCCTAAATAACTTAGTGAGACACTATCCCAAAGTAAAAAAACATGCTGGGAATGTGGCTCAGTCAAGTGCTCCTGGGTTCAATCCCTGGTACAAAAAAAAAAAAAAAGGAATGCTTTTCTGTTTCGATGAGTGAACATGAATAGAAATATAATATTATCATACACCGTTATAAAACATCATCTTTGTGAGATTTAAATTTTCAAGATGAGCAGCGAGGTTTTTGGTTTTTATTGCATAAGGCTATGATATTGAAACTACTCCTGTGTTAATAATAGTAAAAATACTTTAAAAATTCCTACTTCATTATGATATATTAAGTACTATTTCTATTTTGAGCCCATATAACTTGAGAAGAGTGGAAGGTAAAACCTCAGAGTCATCTAAAAATCAAGAAAAATCATTAGAGGAATTTAATACTTACAACTTAAAATATCTGTAAAATTGAAAAATTTTAGAAGTGCCATGTGATGATCCATTCATATTTAGTATTCTAACTTATTTTCAAAATTCAATCCATAGTTGATAGTCTAGGCAGATTTGAGAAAACAAGAGGCAAAAATATTTAGATCATCACTGCAGTAGAAAAGGAAAGAGATGAAAAGGGCCTAGATTAGTGTTATGGCTCTTAGGGTGGAAAGAAGAAATGCTCACAGAGATCATTTTCATATATATATATATATATATATATATATATATATTAGTTGTAGGTGGATACAATACCTTTATTTTATTTTTTTTGTGAACCCAATGCCTTATGCATGCTAGGCAAGTGCTCTACCACTGAGGCACAACTCCCCATAGAGACCCACTTTCAAGTTCAAATTATAGGACTTGGTGGTTGAATGAGCATAGTTTGAGGAATAGAGTTCAGTACTCTCATGTCTGAGAACTATCCTGGGGAGCTATTTGAGTGAAGTGAGGGGGAGTTGTTGATATTGGGAATCACAAAACTCAGGAGTAACAAAAATGAGTGAAGTGGGCAAGTGATAATAGTAGAGAGAGCTGGAGAGCGCTGTCTAAGGGCTGTTTCTCAGCATGGGAATAGGGGATCCAATGTTGCCAAATCCAAGTTTTTCAAAAGAAGCCAATACTCTGGATCTAAATTAAAAATACTAATTAAAAAATGTAGATAATCATCTTTAAAACTGAATAATCATATCTGAGGATTAAATTGGTTTACCAGCTATGAACTGTGGCTTTATATATATGAAGGTGTTTATTGTGGTATTACAAGAATAAACATTTGGAAACAACCTAAATGTCAAGTAATATGGTTAATAATGTGATTATTATATAACTATTCAAAATGCCAGTGAAAACATGGGGAAATATTTGAAGGATAATGCTAAGTGAATAAAGCAAAATGCCATATTGTATATATACACTAAATACGTCCTTGTAGCAATTTAAATTTAGAGATTGATCAATCAATAAAAATTGGAAGGGATTGTTGCTTGAAGTACTAAAAAGATGTATTCATTTCTTTCTTGTAATTTTTTATGTTAATGTAATTTTTCTTTAAAAATGGAAAAACAATTTTGGCCAATTTAATCTGTAATTCACATGTTTGCTTTAACATTATTTTAGAATGTTTAAAGGCCTTAGGCTATATGGAGCGTGCTGCTGAAAGCTATGGCAAAGTGGTTGATCTGGCCCCCCTCCATTTGGATGCAAGGATTTCACTTTCCACCCTTCAGCAGCAGCTGGGCCGACCTGAGAAAGCTCTGGAAGCTCTGGAACCAATGTATGATCCTGATACTTTAGCTCAGGATGCAAATGCTGCACAGCAGGTAGACCATGTAACATAGAAGTTTTTCCTGGTGGATTGTATTTTAGAACTTTCTCCTCAGTTAAGGATGTCCCTATAGTTTACATCCAAAGTTTTATTTGGGAATTTTTTTTTTTAAATTTTTGTAGTTGTACAGAATGCCTTTATTTTATTTGTTTATTTTTATGTGGTGCTAAGGTTCGAACCCAGGGCCTCACATGTGCAAGGCAAGCACTCTTCCACTGAGCTCTATCCCCAGTCCCAAATTTGGGGATATTAAATTTAATGTTTTTGAAAAATTACTTTGCGCCTTAAGATTCAGGCATTTTATTAGGAAACATTATAAATTATAGTTTCTATAATATTAGACATTAATCATTGTGGAAAATCATAAAGCAAATGTTCTTAAGGTTTGATTTCTAAAATAAAGCTTTTCTGTGCTAATAAAACAGTTTACAGCAAAGGAATTTTGTCACACTCATCATGTGTTTGTTTATTTAGGAACTGAAGTTATTGCTTCATCGTTCTACACTGTTGTTTTCACAAGGCAAAATGTATGGTTATGTGGATACTTTACTAACCATGCTAGCCATGCTTTTAAAGGTTGGTAATTATCTTTATATGACTTTTTAAATGTTTGGTATTTGATTTAAACCAACATTGCTACTTATAATTGTTTTTTTACTCTTTTAAATCAGACATTTTAAAGTGAAAGTCAAAGAAATTAATTAGTGGTGTATAATTGATATTATAAACTACCTGATATTATAAACTTGACCATAGAGTACATGAAATAAAACCTTTCCTAGAAGTTACTTAGAAAAGTGAGAGCCATAGTATCATCAGTTATTGACCATATATAGGCAGTACTATGTGCCAAAATTCTTCTAGACCTGATGTCCTTCCTGAGTCTGGCTGTTTTTGCAGGGAGATGGCATGTCTATGTGTATGTTATAAAGTTAATGTGAATTGCCTCCTTTTTCCTATCTAAGATGAATAATATGACCTAAATTCTTTTGGTAAAGAAAAAAAATCAATTTTATTCTATTTTTAGGGTGTTTTTGTTTGTTTTTATAATAATTTGACCTCTTTCCCCCTTACTGGAGGAGCTTTCAGTCACATTTGTGGTAATTGTGGCTCTTCAGTTTTCTTTAATAAATTATTGACTAATAAAACTAATTACCTTCTTTAATTTAGGTAGCTATGAACAGAGCCCAAGTCTGTCTGATATCTAGTTCCAAATCTGGAGAGAGGCATCTCTACCTTATTAAAGTATCAAGAGACAAAATATCAGATAACAATGATCAAGAGACAGCAAATTGTGATACAAAAGGTAATTTCTTCATTTGCTTTATTATATATAACTTAGATGAATTCAGACTATCTCATGAAGCAATATCTGACAGTACTCAAATTGAAAATATACCCTTTTCAAATAAAATGAAATTTTGAATCCATATCTCTCAAGTATAATAAACTCGTTTGAGTTAAAAGTCAAGGCTAAATACTTCAGTTTTTAAAATATTAAAAGGAAAACATCTGCTTGCAACCTTATGTTGAAAAATGAAACTTTAATTTTGATTTTTCTTTTTTTTTTGGTACTGGGGATTGAACCCAGAGGTGCTTTACTACTGAGCCACATCCCTAATCCTTGTTTCAATCATTTTTGTTGATGTACTTTTATTTTTTACTTATTTATATGTGGTGCTGAGGATGGAACCCAGTGCCCCACACATGCTAGGCAAGTGCTCTGCCACTGAGCCACAACCCCAGTCCTTTATTTCTTATTTAGAGACAGGGTCTCACTTAGTTGCCAGGGCTGGATTTGAACTCAAGATCCTCCTGCCTCACCCTCCCAAGCCACGCAGATTACAGGTGTGTGCCACCATACCTGGGTAATTTTGATTTTTAAGAAGAAAGTATATTTGAAGAAATTTGAAGATTTGGTGGCAAAACCAATTATTTGTCCAGTCACTTTGATTACATACATTCCATTCTGTTTCAGTTTTGATGAATGTAGTAATAGCCATAGAAACTTTTTGAAAATAAGTTGCTATGACCTACTCTCAAGTCTTAGGACTTTAAAAGGCATCTAATTTTACTTGGAAAAGCATCAAGTATGTTTGGGTGAGGTTTTTACTCAGAAAATTTTGAAAATGACTAAGGCTTTAAACTAGAGGTGTAAATTAGGCAGAATCTGACTTCATTATTAATTAATTTAACAAACATTTATTAAATCACTATAGCATTATTAGAATCAGAAGAAAGGCAGGAGGACTTAGCTGGTTATCATCTAGCTGTAAATGCCTGAGAGCCCTGCCAGCTCTCCAGTTCATTAATTCTGGGTTTATCCCAACATTTTCTACCTCTGTAGTATATATTAGACCATGTTTCCTTAAGTTTTGTTTTTCTCTATATCTGATATTGCTTGTTTCAGTGGATCCTCATTCAGATCTGTTGTTGGTTTTTCTTAGGTTCATAAGATTTTGTTGGTTAGTTTTGTTAATGTCATCACGGTGGGGATCACCTTACATGGTGTCCCAGGGTGGATGAGCTAAACCTTTTTATGTTAAATAGAACTTTATACTCTGATATTTTCACTTAATGTTTTCTCACAGAAATTTTCTCATGTTACTCTCTTGTCATAGCTATATTTTAGGAATATATAATATTCCTTTAGATAGCAGTTCCATAATTTAACCATTTCCTTATCATTTTTATATATGATACTTCTAAATTTTTTGTAAATAATGTAGTAAGCATCTTTGTACATATAGATTTATCCATATTTTGATTATTTAGGATAGATTCCCACAAGGAGAATTATTGGATCAAGGACAGAAAAAACTTTTTAATAATTTTTAAGGTTATAAAAGAGAAGCATATTACAGAGAAAGAAGGACAAGAAGGTTGTTAAAAGAAAAACTTCAGAAAGATAAAATTGATTAGAAAAAGATCAAGAACAACTTTGATCTCAAATATAAATTGGAATTCATTAGCTGAAAAATTGGCATTGGAATGCTGTGTATGTGCAGAATCCTCTATCTGATCACAATCATGGAAAGGCCATTTGTTCTGCTCTGGAGGAGCATACATCCTAGCTGGTACCAAAAAATGCAAATGGGGTTAGTTGGACTTTGTAGAGAACAAGTCATAATGAGAATTAACAATTGCATATTGTTAAGCAGGCAGAGAAAAAGGGGATAGTGTTGAAGGAATATAAACAACCAACTACTCCCTACTCATTTTTGTAAGGAGTGTTATTGGTAAGAATTCAGGCCCGTAGGGCTGTGGTTATAAAGTTTATCTTAAAATCGAGCATGTGAATTTTTCTTTCTGATACACTGTTTCTGGAAATACTGTAACCTAACTGGTTTTCATTGGTCTCATTTTTAGCAATATTTGCTGTACTCACAAGTGTCTTGCCAAAAGATGACTGGTGGAACCTTCTGTTGAAGGCCATATATTCTTTATGTGATCTATCCCGATTTCAAGAGGCTGAGTTACTTGTAGATTCTTCATTGGAATATTATTCATTTTATGATGACAGGCAAAAACGCAAAGAACTGGAATACTTTGGTCTGTCTGCTGCAATTCTGGATAAAAATTTCAGAAAGGCATACAACTACATCAGGTGACTTTCCAATAATTTCATCAGATTCTTTGATAGAATGTACATTTACTTTGATTTAGACTTATAGTCAAGAATTAATAAGCCATTTTATTACTAGCTTTTGTTTTGTGCTGGTTCAGTTCATTGATGATTCTCAGAGGCAGCATTTGAGAGCATGGACTCTAGAGCTAGATTTCCTGGGTTCAAATCCCAGCCCTGGCTTTGTGACTTAAGGCTAGTTAATTTAACCTCTTGTGCCTCTCTCTCCCATTTATAGAAGGACATCTTAATACCATTACTCCCCCATAGTATTATGAGGGTTGAGTTATGTACAAAGCCTTTTTTCAGTGTCAGGAGCATATTATTATTCATTAAATGCTTACAGTTCTTCAGCTGGGCAGGGAGAGGAAAAAGTGAAACCAATTGATTTTTTTTTTTTTTTTTGGTTTAAGAGTTTTGTTGAAAAACAGAAACAAGATGTAGAAATATTAACTTAAGCAGCATTTTTTGAGTAAAATCTTTTATTGTATAAGAGGTTTTGCTTAAATAGATTGAAGCACTTTGCTTTTCCTTGTTGGGGATGGTTCAGTTTAGTATTAGAAGGACAGCGCTAAAGGGTTTCATTCTTAGAAATCAGGAAATGGGCTTTTTTTTTTTTTTTTTTAAAAAAAAAAAACAACATCATTTCCTCCTCACCTTCTTTCTGCAATAGGATAATGGTAATGGAAAATGTCAATAAACCCCAGCTCTGGAATATTTTCAATCAAGTTACCATGCACTCCCAAGATGTAAGACATCATCGCTTCTGTCTCCGTCTAATGCTGAAAAACCCAGATAATCATGCACTGTGTGTTTTAAATGGACACAATGCATTTGTATCTGGAAGTTTTAAGCATGCACTTGGTAAGTGTCCTGGCACATGACTTCGTTAAGCATAAACAGTATAATGTTAAAGAACCAAGCCTTTGGAGCAGAGCTGCCTAGGCTTAAATAACAGCTATCCTGTGTTGCTCTGTTCTGTTCCTTTATTTCTAAAATGGAGATAATAATTGGACCTACCTTAGAGATTACTGTGCAAATTAAATGAGTTAATATAAACTACCTAAAACAATGCTTGGTACATTGATAGCATGAGTGGCTATAAGTATTAGCAATAATGATAGTTTTTGTTATTCTTAAACTTTAGTTTTGAAAGGACATATTCATTTTAAAGATCAAGAAATATCCCTACTAAGGTTTGTTTGTTTTTAAAATAATTTTCAGTAATTATGAATGCTTTGCCCCTAATTTGGTTTGCTATTTGCAAAAAAAGGATTTAAGATTTGCTGATAGTCATTCCTCTAGGAGGCAAGTCTTATAAGATTTATTTACATGATGCTTACAAATTCCAATTAAACTCAAGGAAATTCATTACTCATAAAAAAAAATAAGGAATTAGAGGTACTCAAGAAGAAAAATGCTTAACCAGATGTTTAAACTTAAAATTAGGCATATCTCTTTTGCTGCCAAGTTAATTCTGAATAAACTGCAATTTTGGCTATTTAAAACTTAAAAAAAAAATTTCATGTTTGTGAATGGCTGATGTTTTTATAATTGTTCAGCCAGTAACCTCAAATATCAGCTTTTGGAATTTTACTATGTATGCTTTTTTTAATTGTTGGTTTAATATTTAGAAAATAGAAAAATTGAGATTTAAAAAATGTTCATAGACAGTAAAAATAGAAATGTCCAAATGGCCATTTACCATCTTTCCTGCTTAAACAAAAACAAAAACCTGTGGTATCATTCCTCCTGGAATAGAACCTAGAAGAAATAGAAGTTTTCATCTATGTAGGATAAATTTGGCTAAATTATCCTACCTCATTTTTTTTTTAACATGAGGTAATTTATATCAGAATTCTTAAAACCCCAAATTGTTATTAGACACATGAGCTTCTCTTGGGAAAAATACAGTTGCCACATTTAAGAAAACACTGAATCTAAGAAACAAAGCTTCTTTTCCCTTTTCTCACTTCTATAATTCATCACATTTGAATTTATTAGAACAATTAATTTTACAAAAATTCACCCATGCTTTTAAATAGATTTAAGATCATAAATAGAATTATGATCACATTGATGCTTTTTTAAAGAAGTATTATTCTACTTAGAAATATCTAGCTGTGGTAAAAAAAAAAGTTACTTTTAGTTACACATTTATTTTCATGATCAAGATACATTTATGGAGACACTTCTAATTATGTTCTGTGTTACATATTGCTATAAAATTAAATTAATATGTATTGATTGATATCTAAGACAGAACTATATGTTTGGCCTTAAAATGTTTGAATACATGTTAAGGAAATAAGGAACTCTGTTCTTGTCACATCATCTGACACCACTTCTTATTTTCCAGGGCAATATGTGCAAGCCTTTCGCACTTATCCAAATGAACCTCTTTATAACCTCTGTATAGGCCTAACCTTTATTCACATGGCATCTCAGAAGTATGTGTTAAAGAGACATGCTCTTATTGTGCAGGTAATTCATTTGGATTTTTCATTTTTATGTTCCTTGAAAATTAACATATTTAATTGTTTTTAAAATTTCTACTTCAAAAGTAATACCTGCTCAATACATGTTGGGAATCAGAACTCCTGGCCAAGACTTATTATATAGCAAGGTAGTAAGGATACACAACTAGATCACGGGAGAAAAAGACACAGGCAAAATCTAGAGGAATTTATATGCAGCCTCCCTTATACTCTGGAGCCCCAACATCTCTGTTCTTCTAGGCCCTAAAGATTAATTTAAATTAGTTTTTAAAAATATAACTATATAGTCAGGTATGGTGGTGCATGCCTGTAATCCCAGTGACTCGGGAACCTGAGGCAGGAAGATTGCAAGTTGAAAGCCAGCCTCGGCAACATTGTGAGACCCTATTTCAAAATTAATAAATAAAAAGGGCTGGGGATGAGACTCACACATTCACACACACACACACACACACACACACACACACACACACACACACACGATAATGAATGTTGGATGCACCTGATTTCTTACACCATCACTAAGAAGGTTTTTTTTGTTTTTCTTTTTAATTTTCCTTTTGGGTAGGCTAGGGGTATAGCTCAGTGGTAGAGTGCTTGCCTAGCATGTGCAAGGACCTGGGTTTGATCCCCAGCACCACCAATAAAAAGCAAATTTCTTCCTGGTTCTTATAAAAATTAAAAATTATTTTTGTTTTCCTGTTTACATGTTTTGTAGTTTGTCTTCTAAGATTACCATAAACTCCAAGAGATAAGAGATTTTACCAGCCTTATTTACTACTGTATCTTCAACACTTTGTTTTTATGATTTCCATATTTATTTTTTCTCATTCTAGGGGTTGAACACAGGAGCATTCTACATCTGAGCTATATCCCTAGCCTTATATTATTTTATTTTGAGGCAGGGTCTCACTAACTTACCCACCCTGGCCTCGAACTTGATTCTTTCTGCCTCAGCTTCCCTTGTGTCTGGGATTACAGGCATGTATAACTATGCCTGGCTGATTTCCTTATATGTTTGATGTATCCAAAATATGATATGGAGGGTTGGGGATATAGCTCAGTTGGTAGAGTGCTTGCCTCAAAATATGATATGGTATAACGTATACTATACTCTTATAGGGTAGGGCTTTTATTTTTTTCCTTCAATATTTCTATTCCCAATACCTGGCACATATAGTTTAGTACATTCTTACCAAATGAGTGAGCTACTGAATTATCTTTTTTTTTTTTGGTAGGGCTTCTCCTTCCTTAATCGATACCTTGGTTTACGTGGACCTTGCCAGGAATCATTCTACAATTTGGGCCGTGGCCTTCATCAACTGGGTCTAGTTCATCTTGCAATTCACTATTATCAGAAGGCCTTGGAGCTCCCTCCATTTGTAGTAGAGGTATTGTATAATTTACTTAACTAAGGAATCACTTCATTTCATCTATAGATAAGTGCAGTTAGTTAAGTATTATGGTTCAGTCAGTGAAATTATAGCTTCTTTATTAATGTGTATTTTTCCCTAATTCAGTATATTTGTAATTATGTTCAGCAACAGATAGATCTTTTACATCTTAGCCTTATGACATGATCAGCAAAAGTATATTTTATAAACTTAACTATAAAAGGATACATTGGCTTAAAACCAAAGTCAAATAAAGATAAATACAAGTTATATACACTGATATATATATATACATATAAAAAATTAATAATGAAAACATACTCTTCTTTAGGAATTCAAGTATCCATCAGACTAAACAAATATCATCATAATACTGGCAACACTTTACCTGTTTTAAAATAAGAGGCTATCTTAAAACAAGAGGCTATAGGAATACTAGTCTTTTATCTTTATAAAAAAATGTTAGTTATACTTGAACTTAAAAATGAATAATGGCAATCATTCAATACTTGGGCTTCATATGAACATGTATATTTGTGATGACCCTGTGATTTGTCCTAAGATAGCCCCTGTACTTTACAGATAGGAACTGGTAGATATGAAGCCCAAGTATTGAATGATTGCCATTATTCATTTTTAAGTTCAAGTATAACTAACATTTTTTTATAAAGATAAAAGACTAGTATTCCTATAGCCTCTTGTTTTAAGATAGCCTCTTATTTTAAAACAGGTAAAGTGTTGCCAGTATTATGATGATATTTGTTTAGTCTGATGGATACTTGAATTCCTAAAGAAGAGTATGTTTTCATTATTAATTTTTTATATGTATATATATATATCAGTGTATATAACTTGTATTTATCTTTATTTGACTTTGGTTTTAAGCCAATGTATCCTTTTATAGTTAAGTTTATAAAATATACTTTTGTATTATTTCATAAATATTTTTGTATATTGATACCTTAATTTTATTGGTATCACTTTGAATCCTTACAATTGTTTCTCACAAATTTCTCCTGGGGAATATTAGAAACATTATTCTAGCTATTCTTTTTTTATTTTCATTTTTTTAAGTTTTTGATACAAATTATACATATTTATAGGTTATCATGTGATGTGTTGATACATACATACACTGTAATGGTCAAATCAGAGTAAGAATCTCTCCAAACATTAATTTTTTGATATCTTTTTTTCAGATAGTTTGCTTTTGGCATGTAAAAATGCTGCTGACTTTTGTCAATTTTATATCCAGCTACTTTCTTCAATTTATTTATTAGTTCTAATGAGTCTTTTTTGTAGAGTCTTTAGGGTATTCTAAATTTAGGATCATGTCATATGCAAACATTGACAATTTGACTTCCTCCTTTCCAACATGGATGCCTTTATTTTTTTCTTTTTCCTAACTACTCTAGTGAGGACTCCTAGTACTGTGTTACATATGAAAATGGGTATCCTTATCTTGTTCCAGTTCTCAGAAAGCTTTTAGCTCTTTCCTGTTCAATATGATATTAGCTGTATGTGTCTTATATAGGGCTTTATTATACTGAGATATATTCTTCCTATACCTAATTGTTGAGAGATTTTTAAAAATATTTTATTTTTTTACTTATAATTGGACACAATACCTTTATTTTATTTATCTATTTTTATGTGGTGCTGAGGATGGAACTAAGGGCCTCGCACATGCTAGGCGAGTGCTCTACCACTGAGCCCCAGCCCCCCAGCCCCCCAGCCCCAGTCCCTTGTTGAGAGATTTTATCAATTCTTTTTCTACATCTGTTGAAATGATATGGATTTGTGTATGTTCAGCCATCCTTGTATCCCTGAGATAAATATCATTGGACCTTGGAGAATTTCTTTTAAATGTGTTATTGGATTTGGTTTGCTAGTATTTTGTTGTGGATTTCTGCGTGTATGTTTATCAGGGTCCATATCTTTTTGTTGTTTCTCTTTTCTTTTTTTTTAAAAAAAAATCCATTTATTTTTAGTTGTAGTTGGACACAATACCTTTATTTTATTTATTTTATATGTGGTGTTAAGGATCGAACCCAGGGCCTTGCACATGCTAGACGAGCACTTTATTGCTGAGCCACAGCCCCAGACCCTGTTGTTTCTTTATCTGGTTTTAGTAGCAGGGTAGTGTTGACCTCATATAATAAGTTTGGAAGAATTGCCTCCCCTTCCATTATGTGGAATAATTTGAGTATTGGTATTAGTTCTTCTTTAAGTGTTTGGTAGAATTCAGTAGTGAAGCCATCTCTGGTCCTGTATTTCTTTATTATTGATTTAATCTTGTTACTCATTTTTGGTCCAGATTTTCTATTTCTTTGTGATTCAGTCATGGTAAAGTATATATTCATTTCTTCTAGATTACCAAATTTATTGCCATATAATTTTCATAATTGTCTTTGTCTTTTATATTTCAGTAGTGCCAGTTGTAATGTCTCTTTTTTCATTTGAATTTCATTTGAATCATCTTTTTTCTTAGTTTACCTCAGGGCTTACATTTTTATCCTTTTGAAGAACCAGCTCTTTATCTTGCTGGTCTTTTTATTTTTTATTTTTAGTCTCTATTTATTTCTGTTCTTTCTTCCCTTCTACTATTTTGGGGTCTGATTTTGTTCTTATTTTTCTAGTTCCTTGAGGTGAAATGATAGGTTATTTTGAAATCTTTCTACTTTTCTGATAATGTTGTCAATTGTGCTAAACTACCCCGTTAGTACTGCTTTTGCTGCATTCCATAAGTTTTGGAATGTTTTATTTCCATTTTCTTATAATTTTCTTTCTTGATAATTGGTTGTTTGGACCATGCTGTGAAATTTTCATTTATAATTCCATATTACTGTTTTATTGCATTGTGTTTAGAAAAGATACTTGATAGGATTTTTAATATATATTTTTAGTTATAGATGGACATGATACCTTTGTTTTATTTATTTATTTTTATGTGGTGCTGAGGATCGAACCCAGTGCCTCCCACATGCTAGGCAAGCGCTCTACCACTGAGCTACAGCCCCAGCCCGCGATTTCAGTTTTTAAAAGTTTGTTGGGATTTATTTTATTTTTATTTTATGTCCTAGAGGATGTTCATGTGCTGTAAAGAATTTGTATTTTATAATGCAGTGTTCTGTAGAGGTCCATTTGGTTCAGGGTGTAATTGTCATTTTTCTGTCTCAATGATCTGTCCATTGCTGACAGTGGCATGTTATAAAGTGTCCTAGAAGATGTTCATGTGCTGTAAAGAATTTGTATTTTGTAATGCAGTGTTCTGTAGAGGTCCATTTGGTTCAGGGTGTAATTGTCATTTTTCTGTCTCAATGATCTGTCCATTGCTGACAGTGGCATGTTATAAAGTGTCCTACTATTAAGGTACTCTGTTAGGTCTGTTAATATTCATCTTACATATTTAAGTGTTTTGACAAATTGTGTGCATATATATTTGTTATTTCCTCTTGCTGAATTGATTGTTTATCATTACATAATGACCTTTTGGTCTTTTTGTGCTTTTTATTTAGTCTCTCTTATTTGATAAAATATGGCTATTCATGCTTTCTTTTGTATTGCATTTGCATGTAATATCTTATTCCATGACTTCACTTTCAGTATGCATATTCTTAGAGATGAAATGAATTTCTATGATTTATATTCATTCATTTGTCTTTTAGTTGGAAATTTTAATTACATTTAAGGTAATTATCAATAGGTGAGGACTTACTATTGCCATTTTGTAATTTGTAATTCTTTTCTCTTTTGTAGTTCTTTGCTTTGTGATTGAGTTTTCTTTAGTAGTGTGTTTTGATTCCTTGCTTATTGGTTTGTGTGTCTATTGTAGGTTTTTGTTTGTTTTTGGTTTTTGGTACCAGGGATTGAACCCAGGGCTCTTTACCATTGAGCCATATCGTAACACCTCTTACCCCATCCACCACTTATTTTTTTGAGACAGGGTCTTGCACAGTTGCTTAGGGCCTTCCTAAGTTTCTGACCTGACTTTGAACTTGTGGTCATTCTGCCTCAGTTTCCCAGACCACTTGGATTACAAGTGTGTACTGCTACTATGCTGGGCTTTTTTGGGGGGTGGGGGGTTAGGGTACTAGGAATGAACTCACGGGGTGCTTTGCCACTTTGCTATATCCCCTTTTTATTTTAAGACAGGGTCTTGCTAAGTTGCTGAAACTGGCCTCAAATTTGAGATTCTCCTGCTTCAGCCTCCCTAGTCTCTGGGATTATAGGCATGCACCACTGAACCCAGGATACAGGTTTTTGATTTGTGGTTACTATGAGACTTATAAAAAACATCTTTTGGGCTGGTGGTGCATGCCTGTAATCCCAGCAGCTCAGAAGTTTGAGGCAGGAGGATCACAAGTTCAAAGCCAGCCTCAGCAACTTATTGAGATCCTGTCTCAAAAAGGGGCTGGGGATGTAGCTGGGGGTGTAAACATCACCTCTGGGTTCATCCCCTAGTATCTCCCTGCCAAAAAAGTTTTGGTAATAAGCTATGGTGAAATGGTAGCAAATCTATATTGATTATTGTGAAGATAAGAAACAAAACAAAACTCTAGCTGGATGCAGTGGTACATGGTTGTGATCCCTATGACTCAGGAGGCTTGAGGCAGAAGGATCATAGGTTGGAGGCCAATATCAGGCAAATTAGTGAAAACCTGTCTCGAAATAAAAAGGGTTGGTGACATAGTTCCATGATAGGCACCCCGGGTTCAGTAGAATTTTACTAAGTTGCCTGGATTGGTTTTGAACTTGTGATCCTTCTACCTCACTGAGTAGCTGGTATCATAGGCATATACCACTATACGTACCTCCTTTTCACTTTTTACACTGCCTATCTCAACATATTAATATAGTTAATTTAAAAATTATTTTTTAGGGGGCTGGCTCAGTGGTAGAGAGCTTGCCTAGTTTGTGTGAGGCACTGGCTTCAATTCTCAGCACCACATATAAATAAATAAAGGTCCATCAACAACTAAAAAAAATTAAAAAGC